GCTACTAGGCAGACTAGAAACAAACACCGATCTAAGACTAAATCCTTTCCCAAACCCACCAGAATAGGTCACGGCTAAGTGGGGAGCTGTTCCCTGCTGGGCTGTAGTAGCTCAGTGTGAGCTCTTGCACGTGAAACATGAACTTGAGCTAGAACGCTAAGGAGAGGCACGTGCATGAGGACGAGCTTCATCTCCACAGCAGAAAGGCCTGCAGAAATGAGCATCTGGGCGATCGAATTTGAATTGTACCCAAAGTGCCATGGACAGCAGCTGGAGTGGTTTTCCCAGGAAGTAACCGGATGGGATTTGCATTTTTAAAAGGAAGGTTCTGGCTGCTATGAAGAAGGGATGACTTAAAAGCTTGAAGGCAAATAAGGAGGTGTTTGTAGTCGTCCCCGAAGAACAGGATAACGGTGGAGGTGGAGGAAATCGGGCGGGCTGGACGGAAAACTTCCGAGATAAAACCAGCAGCCCTTGCAGTGTAACGGAGGGCCCACAAGGGATGACCCAGGCTTTTTTCCTGAAGCAATGAGTAGACTGTGGGGTTATTTGCTGCCAGGCAAAAGGTGAGACGGTATTCATGAGAGAGGAAGTAAATCAAAGGTTGAAACAGGAACATAGTAGCCTTGGTGAGCTGATTTGAATATTTACATACTGAAAGATATGGAAAGCAGAAAGGTTTCAGGGATCTCAGACCCTAAGTCAAGGTTTTGCGGTCATCTCTGTGGTCATTTTGCCTTCTGTTGGTCTTTTTTTTTTTCCTTCCTTCTGTTGGTCTTTATCCCTTCTTCTCATCTGCTTATATCCTCAGCTCTGCATCATCTCCAGTCAAGTCCGAGCTCCCAAGGGTACCCTCAGGCAGAAAAATTCAGCTACTTCCTATCCTTAGGTAAATTTACCAAAAAACGGCCATTTCCCATCGCATTGCCCTCTGTCCGCATTTCCCGGCAGTCTCAGCTCATCATCCTGTGCTGCTCACCAGTTGCTCCTGGCATCCCTTGAGAGGGCGGACCAGGTAGCGAAGCACTTTGGTCCCCCACTCTGGGTAGCATGATGCTATATATAAGTTAGAGCATGGTACATGCGGGCCTTGCCTCAGGGACTCAGTCATTCAGGACCAAATAGAGGCAAAGAAGGTACATACAGGCACAAAGTGTAACATGTTGCTCACTAGAAAAATCACAGGGTCAAAAAATAAGTATTTTTATCCTTCTATGTACTCTAATAGCCAACTTTGCCTTCTTAAAAGACAGTAACAACTTATAATGCTGCCACAAATCAGTCAATCTATAACATGTGAAAATTTTGTCAAAATTGGGTATTTACTTGCATGCGTGTGTGTGTGTGTGTGTGTGTGTGTGTGTGAGAGAGAGAGAGAGAGAGAGAGAGAGAGAGAGAGAGAGAGAGAGAGAGAGATCATTATTGTTTCAGGTTATAGCTGAGATTTAAAACATTCTTTAATGATATGGTTTTACACATTTAGCAATAGACCAAGCACAGTCAACACCAGCATGACATGGGATCTGTAGGACATGCTAAGAACCAACTTAGGCAGGGCATAGCTATACACACCTTTAATGCCAGCACTCAGAGGCAGAGGTGGGTAGATCTCTGAGTTCGAAGCCAGCATGATCTACACAGTGAGTGCCAGGACTGTGTAGAGAGATCTTGTCTCAAAAACAATAGCAACATAAAAGAGCCAACTTGGGGCTTACATTGTGAAAGGAAAATTCAATGCACCTCTTTTCTTTCTTTTTTTCTTCCTTCTTTTTTTCCCTTTTTCTCACAATCTAGTTTGTGCTGGACTCAAATTCGTGATGTTTCTGGCTCAACCTCCCCAGTGTTGGTATCATTCATTCAGAACCAAGACCAAGTCAAGGTAACAAGACGAGAGCTCTTCCCCTGTAGAAGCAGGCACAGGAGCTTCCAGCGTGACCTAGCAGGTAGCAGCATGACTGGCAATGTCCTGAACCACTGACTGTGCGAAGCGGCGGTTCTCTACACGTCTATGTTTTCATCCAAGTTAATCAAGTGTGGCCAGAACCTCTCTGCTAACCAAGGTTCGTGCTAAATTTGCAGGATTCCTAACAAAGGCTGTAGTGTACTCCATAAGGAAAAGGGAAGAAATTAAACTAGTGACTACATCATGACAAAGATTATGGAGAGGAAATATAACTATGGGGTCAAATTGAGCTTAATCAGTTTGTCTGGGATTGTCGTTCCTATGAAACTGCTTTTCCAGATGGGTGGATCCTTGGAACCCATGTGGTAAAGTAAAACATGGATTCCAGAAAAACCGTCTTCTGCCCCGACTCTAGCACTGTGACTTGCATGCACACAGACACACACACAGCTCACGTACGATAGATAGATAGATGGATGGATGGATGGATGGATAGATAGATAGATAGATAGATGATAGATAGATAGATAGATAGATAGATAGATAGATAGATAGATCAGTCATTTCAAAATTACTTTCCCAATAGGGTTGAAACCAAATGTGTATTATTAGTTTATTTTCCCACCACGCTGACAGTTAGCAAGTTCCTCAGGAACTTATGAAACTGGGTGGGTGTGGGCGCCTGCCAGAAGGAACCACTTTCCTTGTATACCTGAGGTAACGTATTAAAGCCCACGCGAGCACCCTAGCCTTCTCACTTCCCCCTCTACCCAAACACCCAGGTTGCCTCAGCTCACAGGCTTCCCTCCCCTCGGCTTGTGCCCCTTGTCGCGCCCCCGTCCACGATTTTTCCACTCCCACTTCCCTAGCCCCGCCCACTTTTCCTGTCTAGAATAACAAAATAAAACAAAGCAAGCAAACAAACAAAAATAGGCAATCCCATCTGGGCTGCCACCTGAGGCCATGTTAATGTCCTTGGATGAGGGTCCCATGCCTAACAGAAGAGCTGGCCCTGCCCTTCACCAGCCCACAGTGTGGGCATAGGAGAGCTAGCCCCATCCTGCTGCGGCCACCGCAAGATTCTCCTCAATAGGTGGCTTCTGGAACAGCTGCAGGTGGAGAATGGCTCCTTCTCCTTTGGGGACTGACTGCCCACTAGGAATCTGACCATGCTCCAGCGAATATATGGAACTCACAGAATGGACTTGGTTTTTGTTGTTGTTGTTTCGTTTTGATGTTTTTTTTTTGGCAGGGGGCAGTCACTGTTGAAAAGGGTATACATGGGAAGACTGGGAGGTAAGCCTGATTGGGGTGCATGATGTGAGATTCCCAAATAATCAATATAATAATAATAATAATAATAATAATAATAACGGCAACCCCACAAGGCCATGGTATCTCCCACCAGGTCTAATGGGGCATGCATGTACACTGGCATACTTCTGCCTTTGTACTTTCCATCATCCAATCAGGGGCAACTGTCCTTCTTGGCGTATTTCCCACCCATATGTCCAACCTACATGGAATCAACCCCACCTGTAAAGATGAGGCATAATAAATCAAACAATCTTGTTGAGAGTAGTGAAGATCATGTGGCTTATTATCTCCCATAAACAATAGCCCCCAGCATTTCAGAAAATATCTGTCCTTGGGCAAGGGGCTTACAGGATAGAGGCATTTTAATTTTGTGGATCTCTTAGGTACAGTAATTAAAGCATAAAGCATAGCTTTGGCTCTCACAATATGCCACCAAAAGCATTAAGAACCATGCCTGCGATGGTGGCGCACGCCTTTAATCCCAGCACTCGGGAGGCAGAGGCAGAGGCAGGCAGATCTCTGTGAGTTCGAGACCAGCCTGGTCTACAGAGCTAGTTCCAGGACAGGTTCCAAAGCCACAGAGAAACCCTGTCTCGAAAAAAAAAAAAAAAAAAAAACAAAAAAAAGAAGAACCATGCCTGCAGGTCCAGTGAGATAACCCAGCAGTTAAAGGCATTTGCAGTTAAACCTAACGATTGAGCTAGAGAGATGGTCCAGCAGTTACCACTGGATGCTTAGTCAGAGGACCTAGGTTTGATTCCCAGCACCCACCTAGTGGTTCATAGCCATCTGTAACTTTAGTTCCAGGGGGTCCAACATCCTCTTTTGGCCTCTGTGGGCACCAGGCGCACATGTACATGGTGTGTGTGCACACACACACAAAACACACACACACAAAAAATAAATTTAAAATGTTTTTAAAAAGTTGAAGGGGGAAAAAAAAACTGACAATCTTATTTTGATTCTGGAATACACTTGCATGCACACACCCCTGAACAGTGGCTCATAGCTGTAATCCCAGAATTCCTCCGAGAGATAAGAGACAGGGGAATTGCTTGAAAGCTCACAGCTATGCAGAACATCTGGACCAAGAGACAAGGCTTTTTCAGCAGATGGAAGGAGAGAACGGACTTCTAAAAGCTGTCTTCTGACCTCCACGTGCAGGCTGTGGTGCCTGCGTACGTGGGGAGTTACCACAGAGACAGGAAGGTGGGGAATAGTAACAACAACCACACATTTTAAAATAAAAAAAAAAAATAACACATAGCAAGTGCTCGATCAGTTACGGGAAACAAAGCTGCAGAGGGCTAAGTGTGTGGGTGATCAGAAGAGCCCTCACCTAGCATGTGGTGGTTATGGGTTCAGCCCCCAGCACCTCAGGGAGGAAGAGGGAGGGAGGGAGGGAAGAAGACGAAAGAAAAAGACAAAGAGAAATGTCAGATCAGAAGCCCTGCGTGGTGGAGCACATCTTAAATCCCAGTGCTCACGAGACGGAGGCAGACAGATCTCTGAGTTCCAGACCATCCTAAGGTATGAGTTCTAAGGCAGTTGGGACTACGTACAGTAGTCTCAAGAAACAAGCAAAATGAAGAGCAGTGTGATGGGTCTGTAATTCCAGGTCGCCTAATGCTTCCCTGTTTATTATATTAGAAGAGGAAATTAAGGTGTGAGAATCAGTAAGTTTTGCCAGCAGGTAATACCGACCAACTGCTGAACGATTCCCATCTGTTCCTGCCCCGTAAAGGTGTACGTTGTCCAGTGTAAGGACAGGAACAGGCCCTATTTGGTAAGAGATAGCTTTGGGCGACTTTGCCTGGATTACCACAGCCAATCAGGACACAGGACTCTGCTCTTTGGACTACAGGCTGCTCCTGAAAACCGATCACTTCGCCCCCCAGAGCTCACTTCTAGTAAGATTCTACTCCAGCCTGCAAGACACTTCCTGCTCCCAGCCCTCTAGACCGTGAGTACTCTGGTATTGTGAACATATTTAGAGATGGGGAAGTTTCCTTTACAAGTGATTTCATTGCCTTCTCTTATTCCTACCATAGCTTGAGATTCTGGTGAAAGATTAGATTTTCTTTTCTTACCTAATTGCTTTAAATTTAGTGAATTTAGCAAAACTCAGCGACTTTGCTAAGCATCCTGTTTGGAAACAACTCAGCTGGAAACCTCTGGGAGCTCTGTGTCCAGAGGGAATGCATTTTATGTGCTTTATTTACTGATTTGAGACCTGATCCTTCCTCTATTCACCGGAGCTGGTTGAGTTTCTTTGTGAATGAAAGATGTTTATCCGTTTAAACTACCTGGCAGAAGGAGATGGGATGACTGTAGGTTTAGCTGATGAAGTTTGAGAATCCTTGGGCATTCTCGTGAACACAAAAATCTAACTACTCTAGAAGTTTAAGTCCGGTACTCGCTGATGTGCAAAACGAGAAAAGCCACCTTTCGCGTCTCACATTTGATAACTCATGAGAGGAGAGGTCATTGTGTGACGGGATTGTTTCAGTCAGAACAGAAAAAAAAAAGAAATTATAATATTAATATACAGTAGAAGAAGAAAATCTAAGTCTGTGGGGTGCTCTGAGGCAGAAATATAGGTGCAAGAATGAATCCAAGACTAATAGATAAATTTAAGATGTTGCATGTGAGCCAAACATCACAAGATTTCCTTACAAAGAGACTTCTGAAGGAAGTGTTGTTCACTTACTTTTCAGAGCTTGGCCCCACAGATTCCTGTTTCAACCTCCTCATCTCCATTTTTTTTCTTCTTTTTTTCCGGAGCTTTATCACTCTGTCCCGTTGTGCATTCAGAGCCATGGACCGCAGAGCAGAGCTCTGAGCAGGGTTATCCTGATAGACAAGGAATTGCAGGCTTCTCCTTGATCCACAAGACTTTTCACACAGGCGGGTGGTCAGTACATGGCTTGTAAGTGTTGGGGGGGGGTGATTATGAGTAACAGAGGGAAGTGGACAAACCAAAAGTCAGAGGGCACCAGGTGCACCAGGATCTCCACCCCAGTCAAGGGTCCCGTGAGCTGATTCTGCACGTGCTCTTCAAACGTGGGTGGGGGAGAGGGGCTGGCAGGGGCTGTGTCCGCCTGGGGAAAGAAACACCCTTTTTATAATTGTCATCAAAGCAGCCACATGCCCTGTGACACAGAGGCCGCAGCCACGAAGACGCTAATTACAAAACTCCCAGACCCTAGCCAGGAATCTGCATGGCCCACAAGCCTTCCGAGTGCTTTGAGACAGGTCTGGCAGAAACGAAGATATTCTAAAAAGACACTCTTTACCAGTCAGTTAAAACCACAGACCTCCAAGACGGACTTTCCCCCAGGAATCTCATGCTGGGAGAAGGAAAAGACTTTTAGCCAAAGGGAAGCGTCCCTTGGAAAGGGATTCTGCGCAGTTCTGGCAGTCAATCAGGCCACCTTCCAGGATGCTGCTGACGCCCACGTGGGGCTTCGATAAGTGGCAGCCTTCCCTTCAAACTTCAGTCGGGATCCAGAGGACAGATTTGTGGACGGGGGATGGACTGGTAGGGGTGTTGCTGGATTCCTCTTCTTCTTTTTTTTTTTTTTCTTTTTTTGCTTTCCACTATTTATTTGACTCTCAATTGGCTTATTGAGGGTGGGTGGACAACATGGTTTGGCGCACAGCCTCATAAACTCTGAGACATAAGCATAAGGTCACAGAACACTCAGAAACATAGATAGAATTAGGGTGATGTAACACGAGGCAGATGCCGGGCAGATAATTTTTTCTTCACTTCCTGGTGACCTTTCATTAGAGTTGACTAAGGTTAAAGGCTGCCACATCTCGATGGTTGAAGCCAAAAGGAAAAAAAAAAAAAAAAAAAAAAAGTCGGGTCTCTGAGACTGTCTGCTTTGGTTTTCCACTTTGTTGTAACTTCCAAGGGCTGCAGAATTGTGACATGCTCGCAAGCGTAAGAGCGCCCTGAGCGAGTCTGCTGGCCGACTTCTCTCAGTGCTTTGTGGCTAGTTCTTCTGTTGGAGGGATCATGGGCAGGGCAAGAGAGATGAGCTTCAGCGTGGTCAGGGAGCATTTCTCTGAGCTTCACTCTGGCTCCGCCTCTCGGCTCTTTAACTGAGCAGGAGGCGTTTCTTCTAAAAAAGACATCGTGGGCTAGACAGCAGCGGAAAACCCTCCTCAGAAAGGGGGGGGGGGGGCGAGAGGCAAATGGCTATCCCGGGTGGCTAGTTCCCTCTAGGGCTGATCTTCTAGACAGTACAGAGCAGCTTCCTCCACCACAGCTATCGGCTACCTTCTCGGTCAGGAGGGTATCTATTGGTTGCAAAACCGGTCGTTCCACCCCGCCCACCCCTCACCCTTGCTTGGCTTCAGTTCCGCACCTCACTGTTTCCCACCTCCAAAAGAGGAAGTTAGCTGGGCATAGAGTGCCATGATAGAACACCCGCCTAACACCGCAAGAAGCCCTCGGTTCAAGAGAGAAAAAGAAATTCATGAAAGAAGCATGCAGCATTTTGATTTATTATTTTATTTGTAATTAGAAATAAGAAAAAATTAGAATACCAAAGAGACTAAAAATAATTTCCATATGTGTAAGGCATATTATATATGTTTTCAAATTTCTCCTGGGTTTAAAAAAAAAATGAAAAGGGGGGGGAGGCGCTGGAGAGATGGTTCCATGATTAAGAGCACTGGCTGCTCTTCCAGAGGTCCTGAGTTCAATTCCCAGCAAGCATACGGTGGCTCACAACCATCTATAATGGGATCCAATGCCCTCTTATGGTATGCAAGCTTATCATAAGAACACTCATACAGTAAATAAATAAATAAATACATACATACATAAAGTTTTTAAAAAATGAAAAAGATAGGAGGTTTTGTTATAGTTATCGTTACAATTTTTTTCTTCCTGCCTCCACCTCCTAGGTGCTATGATTACAGGCACCACCACCCTGGCTAGTAACACACATCTTAGACTGACTGAGAACTGTTTAGACCACTAGCAGAGAAAAGAAAATATATTTACCAATGATCTGGCAATAAGCAGATAGATGCTCATGTACAATGCTTTGCCTTGGGGCAGACTGTGTGCACTTTATAAGCCCTTTGCTCAAAGTCTACCTAACCCAGTGTAAACCCACAAACACCCGCAACAGGCCGAGGGAGGGTTGCCAGGAAGGGAGTAATTACAGAACCACAGGACCGTAGTTTTCTCTGGGAACCCTCCAGATGCCCACTGTTCTGTTTTACAGTCACAGCGCGGATTATCACTTTCCTCTGGGAGGATAGCAGAAAGATGCTCCTTCACTCTCTCAACTGATGTCTACCAAATGCCAGCGATGTGCTGCACGTGTGCTTGAGCCCAGGAGAACTACAGCTATAGCCAGGCCGTGGTGGCACACGCCTTTAATCCCAGCACTCGGGAGGCAGAGGCAGGCGGATCTCTGTGAGTTCGAGGCCAGCCTAGTCTACAGGAGCTAGTTCAAAACTACGGAGAAACCCTGTCCAGAAACAAACATGTAAACGAAAACAACCTGCAGCTGTCGATGAGGCTTACTCCCCTTAAAGATGTTAGTTGCCGGTTTTTATAAAAGATATGAACACTAATTCTAACTTTTTGTTGTTGCTATTGCTATTGTTGGGCTCCAGCGGGGCAGCTCACACGTTAAACAAGTACTCCAGCACAGCTCTATGTCCCCCAGTCCAAACAGTCTTTCCAGCACTATCGCAAAAATAATCAATTATAAAGATAAAAGTGAAAAACTGTTATCACCTGAGGTAACCACCCAGTATTATCAGCTACTCTTTCATATTCTTTCTGGCATTTGAATATTCAAAGGCAATGCAAAATAAATTTGAATACAAATTTTTCTATTTCTTTTCTATTTTCTAAAATGCTTTGCTCTCCAAGGCATTGTGGTAAGTAATCGCTCAGAATATGATTTCTGGCTTCATAGTGTTGGACTTTGAGATGAAGGGAAGCTCTGGGGACTTCTGTGGGGAGGTCTGGACAGTTGGGGAAACTTGACTTCTCCCATTGCTGAGGGGCTTAGGGTCTGCTCACTCACCAGTGGGTGAAACGCGCCCTCTGTGAGGGCGCCAAGCACAGCCCCAGTCGATGGGGAAGTCGAGAACATCCTAGCTGGAGCCAGGGAAACCCCCTCCAGGGACAGGTGCCTGCTATGTTTTCCAAGTCTTCGTCTGTAAACACGGCTCACTGAACACCTGCCCACGTTACCTATGAAAAGGGTCAGCTACGAAATGAATTATTGCCATGTCTTTACTTTCTTTTCCTAGAACTGATGAAAAAAATAAGTTTGGGGCGCAGCTGTTGCATCCTGTAAAGATATTTCAAAAAAACTGGAAGATGGACACTCTAGTCCAAAAGGGGGGGGCAGGTTTTGGGGATGAGTTGTTGTAGTCCTTGCATGCAGGAGGCCCTGGATTCAATCCCCAGAATTGGGTGGGGCAAGAGGTCCAGAGTCCAAGATTATCCTTGGCTACAAACAATTTTAAGGGACCTTAAGCTATATGAGACCCTACTTCAAAAGAAAAAGAAAAAGCTGTATTGCATCCGGGCTGCTGAGTCAAGGTCTATGTAGAGATTTCTCGGGCGGGACACCAGGTGTGGCCCATGGCAGTCATAATTTTCAGATGGACTGCTTTTCTGGTCAACCAGCTGCTGCTATTCATGGTCGTCAGACCTTCTGGGTTCCACAAACACAAACAAAGTTTAGATTAGCCTGTTTTATGATGTAGTGTTAGCCCCTTTCCTGGAATAGCAAGCTTTATGGCCAGTCACTAGGGTACAAGAGGCATTGTTCAGGTTGCTGGGAGACAAACATTTTTCTTGACTGGAGTGGTCACTGGCTAGTTGCCCATGCTCCTGTGAGTAACACTAATTAAATTCTCTCTCTCTCTCTCTCTCTCTCTCTCTCTCTCTCTCTCTCTCTC